GCAGTTAACGGTATTGGAAGTGGATTAGTTTTTAGTCCGGTAGACTAAGTAATTCTCGTGGTATGAAGTCTCATCCACCCTTTTTCGTTTCTTCCACTAGATAACTTGTAATATAATTAAGGGATAATTATTCCTATTTGTATATCCTATTTTTGTCTTATGATTTTTAGCTAGTGCAGATTATTTATGGTTGATCTCGTTCGATGATGATCAATTGTTAATTGATCATCATTATTAGAAATATAACATGTGTGTTTTTTTTATATGACAACATCTCAATTATGTTTACTATTTACCTTCTTATATAACTTGTTTTTCTTGTACATTGAAACAATTATATAAGAACTAAATTTTCCTTGACTTAATAATCATATAGACGTAATTTCTTTTATTTGTTATTTGCCTTGTGGTTGAACTCATTAATTCTGCTAACCAAAATGCTTATTGATGTGAATGAGAAACTTTATCGTCCTTTTGTTGCTGCTCTTTATTTAAACCACACGCAAACTTGCTACATTTAGATAACCACAGTTTTAAGGCATATATATAAACATTACAATAAAGTAAAAAAGTTTATTATAATAAAGTCAAAAGTTTGGCTGTTAGAGATTCTTTTTGTTTTCCTTTTTCTAAAAGCAGTTTATATTATTTGAAAAGAGATAACGCGCGTATTTATAATTATTATAAAGAGAATATAAGAAATGTAATCGTTTTTTGATTTTCACTTTTTTATAGATTATTATATTTTTAAATATAAAAAAAATCTTAAATTTTTTTAAATAATTATATATAATTTTTTAATATTTTATTTATATATAATTATTAGAATCACGTACCCTCTAGTAAGTAATAAAAGAAATTTGAGATGTTGATTTTCTTGGCGTGGGGTGCAAGGGCACATTGACCGTGTGTATAATAGTACTTAGATAAGGTCAGAAAGCAGCATTACTAGTTCTCACCTTTCGTATCATGAAATCAATTATTCATATCAAAGTCCTTACGAGTGATTGCGCAAGCCCTGAGGTGAGCTTCTTTCTTTACTATCTTATCAGCTTTTGTGTTGAAAATCCTGATTTTTTCCTGTTTATATATTTTTCTATTTTATGTAATATATATTCATTTTATAGTTGTAGTCTTTATAAAATATTCTTATAATTTAATTTCCTGTAAAATTTTATTTCACACTTTTGATCTTTAATAGTATTCTTTTGTCTTTGTAAATTATATGTGTTCATTTAAATCTCTGTTACATTCATTATAAAATTCTGGCGTAAAAGAGATATATATCTTGTACTTATTTCTAAAAAAAATGAAAATAATTAAAAGATTAACTGATAAAGGGATTAGTTAATTAAAAGGTGAAAGACTTGAAAAATGAAATGTAAGATAAAGTAATAAAAGAGAGAATTTAGATTAAAAAAAAAAACAATGAGAGAGAAATAGTGGGTTAGAGGTGACTAGAAGGACAAATTGTGTATACTAAAGGTGATATCTTTTTATTAATAGTATAGATTTATTTTAATCTCCCTTATTTAAAAATATTAAATTAATTCACCAATGAACAACGACAGACATAAAATAGTAAAATAAAATTTTATAAAGTCTATAGTGATTAGAAATATATTTTATAAAAATTGAAACCATAAAACTTTACTGAAGATTTTTTTTTATAATGTTTTTATGGAATGTCTTTCTATACGAGCAATTATTTAGGTATGCAGTAATCAAGGAATATGAAGTATTTATGGTTTGTAAAATCCTATTTTTTAAAATAATAATATCATTAAAATATTATTATGTTATGATTAGAATTATTATTTATTTTTATATATGAAGAATTATTTTATTATATTAATTTATTTAATTTAATGGGATAAGGGGAAACGGTCAGGTTGACCCAATTTAGTGAATTTTTAGGAGATGAGTTAGGTAGACTTATCCTGACTTGTCTCATTTGGCATTTTTGAAAGGACTGAGAGAGAGAAGGAAGAGAAGGAAGGAGCTCTGAAGAGAAGTATTTAGATTATCTCAAATTGCGTCAAATTGTTTAGATCATCATAATAAGGTACGAGGAAGGAGACGAGTTCATTTATAAGTAAGATTATGAGAGAGGATGGGTAGCGGGAGAAATCCTTAAATCTTTAAGATCTTCCTTTTATATTTTGACGCTACAATTGACTATTTAAATAAGTTGTATATTGAATTGTGAATGTGTCTTATTGTATTATTTGGTAAAATTGATTACTTGAACAATAATTTAATTCATTGGAATGTCTCTAGGGTTAAGATTCTAAAGAAATTTGGGTATTGTTAATTGGTATGAAATTTACGAAATCAATGTTATATAATGTGTTTCTAGGTAAAAATAAACATTTATGATTGATTGGATTGCTAGAAGGATGTTGTACATTTGATTATGAATCTTGGTGATATTTTGTTTGCGTTGCATTTTTGAAAAACACGTTGGACTTCGGGCTTGCATCCTTGGTGTGGTGCTTGCATATATACTAATGAATGTGAGGCCTAGACAAGGTTACGTTGGGTGTGGGGCGTATCATGTTAGATGTGACAAGTTGGGAGGGTCTCTATGGTTCATTAGTGTTAGCCTTAATTATAATTAGGTCGAGCGTGTAAATATTGCGTGTAGGCATGATGATCTAACCCGTCCCGTGAGTACCTGCCCGAACCCGCCCCGATTTGGACAGGGAAATCACGTGTTTATCGGGTTCGAATTTTCTTCGATTAATAAAATCGGGGGCGGGGACGGGGATGTTAATACCCACCCCGCCCCCGCCCCCATACCCGCCCTCGCCCCCGTCCCGCTTAATAATATAATTAAAAAATTATTTTTATATATACATAAACCAAAATTAGAAATATTTATATGTAAAAAATTAATTATTTTACTTTTCTTTTATTTTTTTTAAATTTTTTCATATTTATTTAAAAAAAAATAGGAGCAAGGGTGGGGGCAGGGCGGGGAAACCCTGGCAAGTATCGGGGGTGGGGCTGGGGGCGGTTTAAATTTGCGGGGGCAGGGGCGGGGAACGTAAAACCCTCCCCCGCCCCGCCCCGTTGCCATCCCTAATTGCGTGTCCTCTATTGTGGCTTAGAGTCAGGCGTGGTTTGGTGAAGCCCGACGTAGGCTATAAATATGTTATATATTGATGAATTTTTGATGATGGTTGTCTCGTGATGACTATTGTATGATTAAATACAAATAGGGTGTATTTGGATGACTTCATGTGCAAATGTGAGTGGATGTGGCTTTATACTTAATTGTTCATTGGTATGGATAAAGATGATGAATGGATGAGGTGACATGACATTAGCATTTGTGCATGTGTAGGGATGGCAATGGGGCCCATGAGGGCGGGTAGTAGTAAACCCACCCCTGCCCCACTGGATGAAAATTGGTCCCATATCCGCGCGGGTATTCATTAAGCGGGTATCCTTGAATTTCTTAAATACCCACGGATATCCATGGATATTTATAATTTTTTTAAGAAATTTAAAAAAACATATTATAAATAATTTGAAGTTTATATTTAATATCATTGAAATATTAAAAATAAAAATTTAGTGCTAATTTTGAACTTGTATTTAACATTAATTTTGTTGAAATAATAATAAAAATGCAAGATAATCAATAACTTAAAATACATCAATCTCACAAGTAAGTTAAACTCTCATCACAAAGCTACAATAATTTAATCTCATAATTCCAAACAAAATTAAACAACTTAAAATACATAAATCTTATTGGTCCAATCAAAGCTAGAAAATTAATCAAATTAGATCTAACATAATTCTATAACATGTATAACACATGTTGGTAACTTCATCAACCTCACTTTTGTAAGAAAATAAGATGAGAAAGTGTAGTTTTAGGGTTATGTGGTACAATAATAATTAGGATGTTTAAGAAATATTATTAAATGGGTACCCGCGGGTATGGATATCATCATACCCGCCCCCGCCCCCTTTATAAACGGGTAAAAAATTATCCGTCCCCATTATCCACGGATACCCAATTAACCTATCCATTTATTATACGTAACAGATTTTACCCGCAGATACCCACGGGTACGGGTATTTTTGTCATCCCTATGCATGTGACATACACATTTACCCTAGCCATAAGTAGTAATTAACATGGCAATTTTTATACACTAACCATAAATGGTGATTAATAGTATGACATTGGTCACAAGTGATGTAAACAATGTGGCTATGTATGGTGGTTCTTGAGAAGATTGATGAAGTTCGTCCATTGTGCGACGTTCTGAGTTGATACTCTTTAGGAGATTGCATTACATATGCATTGATGTGAGCATAAGCATGATGCATGAATTGTATGATGATACGATTGTGGTGTTATTAATTCATGTACATGCATGTATGAGATAATAATATTATAGTGATTGGTTATTACTGCGAATTGTACGAGGGTTGATTATATGTTTAGGTAGAATTCTTTTCTTTTGTCTTACATATAAATAACTGTTTTTCTCACCCGTATACATTATAGTTTTGTTTTAGGTAATGAGATAAGTAATGAGGTCGGTACTCAAGGTACCAAGAACTGAAACAACGAGTTTATTCTGAAAATGTAATATTGGGGCAATGAGATTAGATTAAGATTTTTATCTTTCATCTTAATTTACCTTTTCTTGCTGAAAACCCTACATCTTGTAATTATTTTTGTTTGATTAGATGATTAGAAGTGAATTGCATGTAAATCTATTTTACCTAAATTGCTAAAATTCTTCCTTATTTAATTATATTATTTGTTGGAGTACAATGGATGCCACATGATTCATGCCAATCATTACATTACTTGCTTTTAAATTTTTCAATAAAAATTTAATAATGTTTGATTGTATGTAATGTAAAAACTAGTTAACTAGAAATCATATGGTACATGATCACCTAATAAATTCTCCTTCTTTTACATTTTTCTAGATACACTCTGCATCTTAACAGGGAAACTTAACAGCATGGAGCAAACCATATCACATTCAAATCCATCATTAGAAAGTGATGTGCAGAACGATTTTTTCCCAACTACTGAGTTTGAAGTGGAATCAGAACTTGATGGAAGAACAAATGTCAATGACGATTCAGGGCATGTTTCCAAACTCGTTCATCGGTTCTACTTTGTCAAACTTTGGCCAACAAACCCCGATTCAGTATCTGAAATAAAAAAGAAAGAGAGCGTGATTGAGAAGATGAATCATGATATTCGTGAAATCACTGAAAGAATCAAAGAGAAAATGGTACGTGGAATTTTCATTCCAGAATCCAGATATATCGTTGTAATCTATGTGTGTGTGTGTTTGTGGAGACAATAATAACTATATGATATGATGTCAACAAAAGTTATTCTGTTTTGTGACAGTCAGAAAGGAACCATTCATATTTTAGGTTACAAAGCTTAAACAATTGGCAGAGCCGCAGAGGGATGGAGAAGATGTATGGCCAGAAAAAGGAAGACAATAAATGACTTGCACGTCGCTCTTGATGATTTGTGTTTCGTAAGCCATGCACCAAAGAGAAGATATAATAAGACATGCTTTAGGGGGGAGCTTGATAACCAAGTAAGAATAATAAATATCAAATCCATTTATACCATTTAAACTCTTGCATGCTTTCCAGAAAAGAAAACCATTTACGCCAAAAGGATTTGTAGCTTTGTATAATCCCTACTAATCTTTATATGACAAGTTATTATTTTTTTATAAAAATTATTATATAATATAGATTTGATGTTATCTAAATATCATACTAATATATAAATGAAAAATAATTATCACATTACGAATATATTTTGTAATATTTTGTTAAGTTTCAATTTATTTCTTTGATATATATGTATATATATTAGTAGTATTATGATTGAGTATATAAATTACAGTAACTTGATTTTTCTCATTGAGATAAATTCACTTTTAAAGTTTTATCTCTTTATCGTATTCTCTCTTCTCTGAATTATATATCCTACCAAGATAATATTAAAGTTTATTCTAATAAATATTAATTATCGTTGATTTTATCATACTATAATTGATCGTTATCGAATTACTTGCAACCAGTCTTGATTGTAAGATTGAATTTTACTCCAAATCACTAATTTCTTGAGAATAATCCAAGATCTTGAAGTGGTGATCAATCTTTATAAGACATTGTGATGTATATAGCCTTATTTTTTAATTTACAGAAGAAGTTAATAATGTGCCAGTTGTTACATACAGATTGGTTTAAAAAACATAATCCCAGAACATGTAATAATTTATCCTACATCTTCTCTTTCTGCTGATTTTCTACTCTTGCAACGTGTAGATGTTGAATTCCTTGATGCTATGTGGAAGCAAAAATTTGGCGGAGGAAAAGCAAATTCTAACGGATGTAAACATTCAAGAGAGAGATAGTGATTCATTTAAGTCACTAGAAATGCTTGAGAAAACTGTAATTTATAGAACTTTGCCGTTTTTTTTTTTTTTTAATCTTGAAACAAACACCTTGTGCTATAATAAGCATTGAAGTTGGGATAATTTTTTAGTACATAACGTTTTCTTGGAATGTTGAACTCATGAAACAGATTAGATGGAATACTTACCTGAATGACTGGCAGAAGCTCCTGAGAGAAATTGAACAATTCCTAGAAAGAGCTTCTGGTAATGCTTCTGTGAAGGGAAAGATTTCAAGCTCGGGATCCTTGAGAAAAGCTATAAAGGACGAAATTAAGGTAATTTATAACTGGCTTGGACTTGAAAGCAACTTGCTCGTGTCATAAAGGTGTTAATTGGTGTTACCTCTGACTCTGACATATTTTCCATTTTAATTCCCTAGCATTTATGCGATGACTCTTTGGAAAACAGAAGAAATCTGATAGCACATGCGATCCGAGTTATACATGCACAGAAAGAGCTAGAGGCCATAGACAAATTAATATATTCTTTGAGAACAAAGTTGACAGAGAGGCGCCAGAAAAAGGGTCAAGCATATCAATCCATTTCAAAATTGAAAAAGTTCTATGAAGGGGAGGTATGGTGTTAAATGTTAATACTTAATAGACACAATCTATACCTTAGTTATCCTGTAATATTTTCCATATGCCAATGTAATCCGCATAATATTTTTTTAACTTTATATATATAAGAATATGATCAGAATCTTTAGGCAGAAAAAGCACATGTAATATAGCCATGATTATTGATGAGAAGTGAGGACCAATAACACATGAAATATTCTAGTTTAAGAATTGGCATAAATGTGAACTTTGTTTATTTCAGGTTATCCACTATTACCAGTATTGTTCACTTGTTAATAAAGTCCATCAGCTGGCTAAAGAGAAAGATGTAGCAGCCCTTGATGAAATATCGCATTCAGAGGTTGGTACTATTGTTTTTACACAACGGATTTATCTAGATAAACTTCTCCCAAAAATAGCAACAAAAATATGAGTAAGCTTTCTTGTTAGTTTATGAATAAGTTAAAACAAAAATTAAAAAATTAATACAAAAAAAACTTCAACAAATTAGTTTATGTTTAAACTAATTTTATCTTATAAAAGTTTATTTTATTCTTCTTTTTCTAAAAAGAATTTTTGGAAGACCAAATATATTATATTCTGCATATTCAAACGAGCTTCTGTTTGACTAGAGTTTATTTTTGTTGGTTTTATGTGTTAGGTTGGAAAATTTATGTTGGAATGGAACAGTAATAAAGCTTTTCGAGAAGATTATGAGAAGAAAGTTGTGCAATCACTAAAGAGTCGGCAACTAAGCAGAGATGGGCGAAGGAAACCAAGATAAATCCTGCACTGCTATGCTTTTCTAGTGGTTGAGGAAAAAATTTCTTTGTTTTTACTTTAAGAAACTATTTCTTCTCTATTCAATGTTATGAATGTTAAAAATATGGCATGTGTATGAAAAAAAAATGAAAAATGGCATTTGTTGCTGTTATTATTTCAGAGGTTACAAATAAATCAGTTATGCATTTCTTTTTCTTTTCATCAATGTTATGACCGTTGAAATAAGGCATGAGAAAGTATTTCTAGTAGATGGTATGAGCTCACAAGATTGATTCTCGTTACTATTTATTTATAATGTTTGATCAGTAAAAATTAGTTAATCTTAAAATATTGTTTAAATTCTGTTTATAGACAAAAAAGATGTTTCAATTCATTTTTTTATATTAATTTCTCTATAAAACACATTAAAAATAAAAAGTGAAAAATTGAATTTTTTAATAAGGTATAATCAATTTTTCTCAGTTAACTTCTCTTATGTTTGGATCAATAATTAAGAGTAAAAGCGGGAAAGATGAAGTGAAAAGACAAGTTATTTCATTGTTTAGTCCGTGAAAATAAGAATGAAACATAATGAAAAAAATAAAAAATCACAATCCATTCACTTATATTCATATTGGGCCGACCCATTTTTGGGCTTTCCAATAAATCTTGGACTTGCCGTCAAGGCCCAGTTAATGTTCGTTTGTTTTGTTCCCAATCGGTGGGCCTGTTGCTGTTTTGTGGAGGTTGCATCACAGGGCAACCTTGTTCCTCCTGCAATTGTAAGGATTTGGTCCAATTTCCACCAATTATATTTTAATATCATTTAATTTGTTGGTCCTAAACTTTTTCTTATTAGGAAAAGATAAATGATATTAACACTGTTTTGATTTTCGCACGCCAACTTTTTTTTTTTTTTTGGATTCTTTAAAATATTCATGAGATGGTGGGTATTACAAATTGACACATGGTGGGTATTACAAATAGACACTTCTCTATCCCTTCTACCCATCATTCAGATATAGAAAAGAAGTCCTATGGCTGATAACATTTTATATTTATTTAATACTAATCAAAATAAATTGAAACATAGAATCTAAAATTTAAGAATAAAAATTTATTAATTTTATATGAGCTCCATTAATCATTTATTGTTGTTCAATTTATTTCATCAACTTTTATTGCATAGAATATTTAATCAAATTTAATACAGTTACTTGACAGTTTTTTACTTGCAAAAGACAAAAATAATTATATGAATTAGTTATTCTTCTTTTGGATATATTTTAACATAATAAATTGGTTAGAAAGTTTTATTTGACGATAGTGATTTTAGAAAATTTTCAACTTGTTATCCTTTTCAATTTATATTTTTTAAACTAAAGTTATATATATATATATATATATATATATATATATATTAAAAAAATTTATATTGTTTCTACTGACTGAAGGTCTTAGGTTCACTACTGATTTGTGTATAAATACCAAATTAAAAATTTATAACACAAGTGGGATTTAAATCGAGTCATTCAGCTAGGATCGTGGCTTGAAGTTCAAGAAAGAATTGCATGCCGTA